TCGGCTTGTGTACTATTGTTTGCTAGGGTCGTTTGTTCAAGCATTCCGGAGATAACATTGATTGATTGCTGGTCATTGGGCATAGATTCATCCGTTTCTCTGATATTTTCAGTTTGCTAAAATTTGTGATTTATCAATGACAAATTAGATTTTCAGGTTAACTTAATAATATAAAACTTTATATTTTCTTTCTTACTCGATTGTCATTAACGCGTTCATTATCAGACTGATTCATATTGTCAATTGAAAATTGATCACCGGTGCTAACGGTTTGTGAATCAGGCAATAGTTTATTGGTTTCCTCGTTATTTTCAGAGTCATTATCGTCGTTCTCTCTTTGCTGTGGTTTCAATGATTTGTTAATTATTAATCACACTTATAATTATTATTATTGAAAATACTAACATGTGGATATTTCGATGCATCCTTTTTTAATCATCAATTTTGTAAAAAAAATAAAATAAATAAATAAAAATTTGATAATAAATATCTATTGAAACACTATTTTCAATAGCAACTTTGAAATCTCTTACTTTATTTTTCTCATTTCTTTTCGAGATTTTAAAATAATCATTCATATGACTACCTTTAGTCCGTTGGTCATCTTCCAAATTCAATGTATCGTTTTCATTTGTTTGAGTATCAAACATTAACTCATCGACTTCCAATAGTCTATTACTGTCTGGATCCTAAAATTAAAAGTATCTTAATGTTACTGTGTCAATTGATTAATAAATGTGGCAGAGCAGATTAAACCGAAATTCGATTAAAATAAAATATTGCATAGCGATAGTGTAAATTAGGCAATTGAATTAATTTGAAATCTCAAATTTCAGTTTAATTCATTATCGTTATGACCTGTGACAAAATATTTTAATATCGATTACATCTTCAATGGTATTAGCTAGATCATTGATTATTTTCCGATAAATCTCTTCAGAAATTAGAACCACTCCAGTTGCGTCCAAATTTTTAATATTCTTAGTGCCATCAGTTAAGAAAATAGTTGCTAAGCGCGATGCGTCATTGAAAACAATTTCCCTAACTCCTCCATTAGTAGCTTCCCATATAAGGTTTATCGAACATCTAATAATTTCCTTTTTATTTTTTATAGTTTCGGCTATTATTCTTTTAACTGTGTGATAGTAAAAGAGAAAAGGTGAAAAACAATGTGGTATCAATGATGAATTTATATTTTTACAATTTGACTATGATTATATCTTGTGATAAATGGTTGAGTTTCTTTGATTAAAAATTTAATAATAGTGATGTCAACTGATATCGATTTACTTTATGATTTGATAGTTTCTGAAGTTACGTTGAGTCATAGATTAATTCAAATCAACGTAAAAAAAGATCTATTATGTAATCATGACGATTTTTAAAATGTGTTGATTAAAAATTTTTCTTGAATAATAACAAGCTTTTATTGTTATATGAAATTGTGGCATTAAGATGTTTTATTTGTGGCCCGAATTAAGATTGATTCGGGCCGTAACTCAAAAAAAGTCTATTCACATAATTGATATTTTGCAATCGCTCTTGTTATAACGAACAGATATAGTGAATTTACGAAAATTTACCAATTGGCTCGAAATATGAAAATAAATAAAATAATTCAAATTTCAAATAAAATTTGCATAGAATTAACTGTAAAACCATTAATTTAATTTATGCATTGTTTTTTATATATACGGTATATATTTTTATTTTATGAGATTATATAAATTAATTAATTTTTTTCTAATTCTTGGATTTAAATTATATTAACTCTTAAGACCTGAATAAACTAACTTGATTACTATCAAAATAGGAAGTAAGTTCTATAACAAAAGTTTTAAGATAAAATTCACAATAATTCAATAAAACTAACTCTACTTTCTTAACTGCATGTTGTATATTAAGTGTATTGCAAAATGGCATCTATTGCACTAATGTACTTTATTTAGTTGCCAACCAATTTATGATTTTTGAATTAATTTTTTAATTCAAATTTTTACCATATGAGTGTCGCCAAAAGAAACCCCGACAATTTAAATATAGTCTATATTTATTTAAATTGTCGGATTTTCTTTTGGTGACACTCATATATTATACATATAATCAAGAATATTTCAGATAATTACTATAATATACTCTATTCAGTTTTTGGAAGCACTGAGTTTAACACTACGAATCTTATATATCTTTTTTTTTTGATAATTACGAAAAATAAGGTCTTTTTTTATTCATATTAATTAATAGAAAATATAATGATTAAATTTTTATATTCTATTATTTTTTTTTATTTTTTTAAATAATATTAAACTTAATTAATTATATCGATATATATTTTTTAAATAATAAATTCGGCACAAATCATTGTGAAACATAAGAACAATTGAGGTTAATTCCGTAACGAAGATTTAAATAATTTTTTCGGTAATATATAAATAATTAATAATCTATTTTCTTCTTTCCTCAATAAATTAAATATTGCTTCTTTAATGACATCGCTCATTCTATCATAGGTTATGATGATGACTTTACCCTTTGACGAACCAGCTGCTTCAATTGCCCCAGGCCTTATTTTAGAAACATCAACTACTACCAAAAAAACCCAAATCAAAATTCCCAATTCTAACCGTTACCTCTACTTCGTTTACATTTCCCCTTTCTAATTATCATAACTAATTAATTAATATAATCAAAATATAAGCACGAAGAAAAAAATAATAAACATACGTATATAGCTATTAAAATAAGCTTTACATTGGATAACCAATGTATAGCCATTCACCTCCATAACGATATCTCGGCCTCCATCTCCAGAACGACTAATTTTTTATAAATATATAAGTTTTGTTTCATAGTTATATATAGCTTAGCAGCACGTATTTTATTCACCAGATTAATCACAGAAGAAACTTCACGTGAAATCAAACAACCAAGAAGAACGTTCTATGCCAAAACATAGGCCCGATGCGCTTTCAATTCTTGGATATTTTACGTTGACCTGGCAGCGTAACTTTAAATACGTGACAACTCAACAAACTTGTGAGAAATACTCACCCTGTCCAAATAATCGTAGCTCCCCAAGCTGCAAACCCTCTACCTAACAACTCTGTACAAAATAATTCAAACCTCGTTCCTAAAGCTTTATTAGACTCCCCTTCAACTTTTTCAAAAATTTCATATCGCATATTTTTCAAGGGTTTTAAAAAAGAAAAAAAAAAACAATGGTTAGAACTCTCAAAACATCCATACTTACCTTTTCAATACTATCGAATTCCTTGAAAAGATGGTTTATTCATGCGTTAAAAAGAAAAAGCAATGTGCAAAAAAACGATTAACCATTTTTTTTTTAAATTTGCAACTCACATTGATCGACGACATGCCTAGGCATGAGGCGATAACGCTGTATAAAAAACATAACAAAAATATGCATTTTAAGTATACAGTATACTATACATATCATATTTCAGATTTTACTACGTATTTTTAAAAATTTTTTCAATTTTGCCATGGACCTATAATTTTAAGGAGTTCTAAACTTAAATTACAGAGAAAAAGAAGTGTGTTAACAGGCGCCATAGAGTTATAAATTAAAGGTTGTTTAAGAGGTGTTTTGTCTAAGTAAAATTCAGATAGATCAAATTAACTTAACGAAAAAAGATAATTCACATGAGCTTCTTTAACATATAAATAAAATAATGAAGTTTCGATTACATTAAAATACCTTTAATCATATGAAGACAGTATAGTAAATTATTAAAAATATAAAATTCAATATATCTGTTATCTCATCTAGTTCAGTATAAAGATGTATGTAAATTCTACAATTGTAAAAGTTAATAGCATAACGATAGAGTAGTGATGTGATCTGTTATCTAATGTCTTATTAAAGTAATGATACACTGTTGCGAAAGTGAATTCGCAGCTATGAATACGAATTTACAAGTGTTACGACATAAAATTTACATCTTCATCTTTACAACGTATCGAAGTAATTTGGTAATTGGCGAGGTAATTGGAAATTAGATGAGAGGTATGTTTAGACATTTCAATTTAGTCAATAAACTTAAATATGATTTATAAATCTATTAAAGCTTGGTATTTTATTTTCTTCGTTAATTTAATTAATAATTTATAATATCTTAATTAGTGATAATTATTATCGTAGACGCCAAATACTCTACGTACTTCGTACCTACAGTTTTGAGGGCTAACTTTGGTATTAAATATTAATGGAATGTAATAATGCTCAGCATTCATTATTTCAAACTTTTTTATTTTCTATAAAATGTTCCTTCTTGATATTTTAAAAAAGAAACACCTTTATCACTAAAATACTACGGGATCCTGCCTATTATTATTTCTTTATATTAATTATGAAATTAATTGGTGAATCACCCAACATTAAAATAGTTTATGAAAAGAATAAATTGATTCCGACGCAGGTAAAATTATTTTTTATTAATTAATTAATTCATACGTTTTTACTAGGAGTTTATATATAATAAATGTTTTATTTTCTAAAAATTTTGATATAAATCCTGGATGCAATATATGGCGACTTCATGGAAACATAAAACATGAATACATGGAAAATTGTACAAAATATGCAAACTTTATACCTTATGATCTTGATAGTTTCTTAAATTACGTTGACTAATATTCTTAGTCATCGGTTATATTAAAAAATATTTCTTTTCTAAATTCTAATACATATTCTAATACATAATTCATCGCAATAACAAATTATAGTTAGATTAGACGAGTTTGTGATGTTTTGATTGGTCGATAGTGGAAAATATATCAGATGTTTGGCTAATTTTCAATATGCATACTTTTGCGTTCTAACAGAAAAGAAAAGACAAATGAATCAAGAAAATAATGAAGAATATCAGAAAGAAATTATAATTAGTCAACCCATTAGGTAATAATGGAAATACATAATCTAGTTTAAATTACGTGAGCAATATAAATTAACATTTTATATCTTTAATAGAGCACCCCAAATGTCATTGAAAAGCTTTGATATAGGACATGGTATTGGTAAGGGACAGTTTGGCCGTGTTTACATTGCAAGGAAAAAAATAAGTGGCTATATAGTAGCCTTAAAGGTGCTATCTATTGGGGAACTAATTAAAGTAAACGCTGAAAGACAATTGAGACGCGAAGTAGAGATACAGATGAATCTAAGGTAATTTTAAATAAAAATATATGATCGCCTTTTTAGTGACTGAATAAATGTTTAAATATGAAAGGCATCCAAATATTCTTCGACTTCTTGGGTATTTTCAAGATGATATATATTTTGTTCTAATCCTTGAATATGCAGCCAAAGGAGAACTTTATAAACAACTTGTAAAATCAGGTAGACTTAAAGAAAAAAAAGCATCAAGAGTTTGTTTATTAATTTTTGAAATAAATTTAATACATAAAATGTTTTCTGAAATTTATGAGTTCATTTCTTTTCTAAAATAGTATATTGCACAAACAGCTAGAGCTTTAAGTTATATTTACCAAAAACACGTTATTCATCGAGGTATAAAACCAGAAAACTTGTTGATAGATTTGAATAATGAGATCAAGATTGCAGATTTTGGATAGTCTGTGCATACGATTCAAAGGTATACAACAAAAGAAGTTATGTTATTTATATTTGAAAAAAATTTCAATTAGGTTGCTTTTATATATAAGGCATAAAACATTTTGTGGTACATTGAATTATCTTCCACCCGAAATGATAGAAGGCAAAGAACATTATGAAAAGATAGACCTTTGGTCACTTGGTGTTTTGTGTTATGAACTTTTGACAAGTACCGCACCATTTGAAAAAACTGGTCATACTGCAACATATAAACGAATTGCAAAAGTTGAGTTCACACTTCCTGATCATTTGTCATTTGAGGCTTGTAACTTGATTTGTTTGGTAATTATCTTTAAATATTTAAAGTATTTTGCTAATAAAGTTAGTGTCGATTTTAATTTTATATTACAAACGTAGTTATTACAACGTAACCCGAAACAATGTCTACCTTTGAAAGATGTCTTGAAACATCCATGGATTCAAAAATACCAGAAAAACCCATAAATGTAATTCCTTTATAGCTAGCGCTGTTATCATTAGTTATTAAGCAATTATTGTGTTAAAATTTATTACAAAGTTTGAGTCCTCGAAAAGACGGTCTATTAATCCTACTTTAAATCCACAATAAAGTGTATAGAAAACTTTAATATCTACAAATTTGCTTATTGGTTGAAAGCAAATTCAAAAGGCAATTTTCTGAAAATTTACTTCCGAATTCATCCTTATCTATTATTCAACCAATCGTTCAAATGTCCTTGATTACCAACAAATACCTTAACTCATATAAAGACTAAAAAAGCTTATTTTTTCACGTAACTTAATAAAAAAAGTTTAACAATCTTATAAAGAATAATAAAGTTTTTAACAAAAAATTTATATATAAATATTCAGAAAAAACATGTCTTCAATCCTACATTCTCCGACTACTAATGTTGATAGAAATTTCACAGATTATGACAAAAATGTATGGAGTTTGGTTAATGGTCATTTGATTATTTAATCAAGTAAATAGATAAATAAGAGTCATATTAATAAAGACCATCTATGATAGTTCTAAGAGCTCTGGTAGTAGTAGAATCCTTGATTCTCAGAATATCTTTTTTTGAGTAGCTATTGTGTTTTTTTGTTGTGCTTTAAATTATGAATTATAGTTACTCTCAATTCACCCTTTTATATTTGGTAGGCAATTCTTAAATTTGTGCCAGGTTGGTATCGCATTAATCAGCCCAAGTAATTTGCACAAATTAAAAAATTCCATAAATTTGAGTTTTAATAGAATGAAAACACCGTTATTCTACTCGAATAAAATGTTCTTACTATTCATTTTTTTCACAACCTTTAGCTTCTGCTATTACTGTTTTGAACTCAAAAAGCTATACTTACATTCTTTTACTATTATAATGTTTATAATAGACCAGAATAATGACAATTTGTCAAAGTTCTAATATAATACGCTATAAAAAAAATATATATTGGCCTTAAAAGTATGATTAAAAATCTCAATTATACAAAATATGTTAGGTAATAAACACGTACTATGTAGTTTATAAATATATATATATATATTCTTTAAATGAAAAAAACTTTTCTTATAATCTACGCTGAATCGTATTTAAAAAAAGAATAATAGTAGTATTCTTTATTTTTAAAGGGTTTCACTTTTAAAACTAAATTTTATAAGCTTTGTTAATTCTTACATACTTCTGAAATTACTTTAATATACTCACATATTAAGTACGGTCAACTCTTATTTTATAATGAACAAACTAAAAATTTTAAATTACAATAGTTCTGTATAGAGAAAATCAACTGTATTCATATTTCTGTTATATCTTCAATTTATAAAAGAAAAATAGAAAACATTCAAAGTATAGGACAGTTGAAGGTTAAACTTTAAATAAATATTTCTTGATAATAACTTCATTAAATTAGATGAAATTTTTTTATTTTAATTCTACAAGTCTGTAGAATTAAAATAAATAAAAAAAAATTGCCAAATTTCATGAAGTAATTATTGAGAAACATTTATTTAAAAGTTTAACAATTAAAGTTGCAACGATGTGACCAAACTTGAAATGTTTTTATTTAATTCTACAAGCATCTAAAAAAATTATCAGATTTGATAAGGTAATCGCCAAAAAATCTGCGTTCAAAGTCTAACACTAGTAAAAGAAAAAACAGTATTTGCTTTTTTTAACTTAAATTATTTCTCAACAACTACTCAATTAAAATTCGATGAAATTTTTTTATTTTATTTCTAAGGCTTGTAGAATTAAAATAAAAATTTGATGAAGTAATTATTAAAATATATTATTTAAAGTTTAACAATTAAATTTGCAATGCAAAAAAGAAAAAAAAATTCATAGTATACTTGTATACTATGTATACTCATATATCGGATTACCTTAGTACATTAATTAGTTGTTTAATTACATACATATGTATTTATTGTTTGAAATAATAATCATATCAAGCACCAACTTTCAATCGATGTGCTAAAGTTATCCAAGTTATCCAGCATACGAATATACACAGTATGCTTGAAAAAATTTTTTTTTTCCCTACTTTTAACCATTTCAAAAATTGTGATAAATTTTTTAAAATATAATTAATAATTTCTCAACAGCCACGTGGTCAAACTCGATGAAAATTTTTTTATTTTAATTCTACAAGCATTTAGAATTAAAAAAAAAATCATTAAATTTAATCAGATAATTGCTGAGAAAACTTCGCTTAACGTTTTAATTCTCTTATAAAAGAAAAAAAGTGCTTTTTTATCAATCAAATTCGATAAAAATTAATGAATAAGTCATGATAACGATGACTTGAATAAAGAGGATAAGGGGATTTTTTACTCAAACTAAGGTGCATGCACGCTTCAAAATAATGCGCTTAGTATTAATAGCAGTGATAAAGTCTATGTTAAAATTTTTTATACTGTATCGACACTTTGAAAAGTGCAAGAAATTTATTTTTCTAATTTAAAATTCATTTATTAAAATTTTTTATTCTTAATAAATATTAATCTATTATAAGGGATTGTACATATAGATAGTTATCATATTACAGTATTAACGTACTCATTCACTCAACAATATGAACAACACATATTAGAAAATTCAATATAAAAGATCTTTTATTGAACTTAGAGTCTGAATATTCTAACAAAAAAGTAAAGAACTAAAAATTGCATGATTATCTAACTACATCATCTATTCATGGAATTTATATAATCATCATATTCTTGACTAATAAATAACGATTACTAACAAATGATAATTATCAATATCGGTATGGGTGATTATATGTGACAGATTAAAATGAAATCAGATTAAAATGAAATATTATACAATGTAAAAAATAGACAAGCCACCGAAAAATAAAAATTTTTGAGGTTCATTTTTTAGGGTTAGGGGTTAGGGTTAGAGGTTAGTTTTAGGATAAAGTTTATAATAAACAAGTATAGGTAGGTTTTAGAGGTTAAATAGAAACTCTCATTTCATTTTAATCTGATTTAATTATCTGTCACATTATATACGATACTTATTATTATTATTAACTATTTAATTTCGATAGTCAACGCTTATAAATAATGATTTATCATTATCGATTTAAATCAATAATGATAAATTATCATTTATACAAATATCTAAAGTGCCTAACTATATTACTCCTATCTCTACTCTAATTATCATTATTTCCTGTAGACCAGGCCAAATACCATGAAAAGGTCTGCCAAATGTACTCGTGAATACAATATCTTTCAGGAATGATATCATTATTACTGACAAAAAACTCACAATTACTATCAATTATTTCTTGAATAGATGGATCAGTGACAGTGTTGTTAATGTCACTATTTAGATTTTTGAACTATGGTTATTTACCCAGTTCAAGTCAAGTCATAAGACATCAGATTAGTTAAATAGCTTCAATGTCCAACGATACGCATAGTATATGCATAGTTCTATAAATATAGTCTTGGTTTATAATCATACAATTACACATTTTAGATATCAGCACGTTCAATTGTATTGACTCAGTTAATAGATTAAATAACCGATTCATTAGTTCAAATAGTTAATTAACATTGTCTTGGTTAAATTAACAACACTGATCAGTGATGACAAAAAAATGCCCATTTAATTCATTGTATAATCTTTTGTCATTAGAATGGTGAGAGATGTCCATAATTTTCTTAGCGAGGGGTATAACTTGCTTCAAAAAAAGCTCATATAATTTTTTTAGATCTTTTTTTCTAAAAAATTGATAACAAAAATCATCGTCGTAAGATTCACCAATAAATATTCTGGTGTCAATCATGTCAGCATCATAAGTATTATCAAGACTTAAAGATAAATGAGATATTTCCATCTTAAAGAAATATGAATCTAAAAATCTAAAATGTAATTACTAGACAACACTTCACCAAACCAACATTTAAATATAGTCTTAATTATTATTATATTTATAAAATTTTTATACTTCAAGAAACAAAACCATTATTATGTTTTTTGCCATTATTAACACATTTTAAAATGACTTTTAAAATAGTAGCTTTTTTCGCGCCAATATCCATTGTTTTTAGTGTCGTTTTTGTCAGTTCAAAAGTATTTAAGCTATTGTGAACAGTATTGAAATACAATAATAAGAATTTCAAATTTACTATGAATGTAAATCAAGAATGACACTTTGCAAATAGCCTCTATTTTTATTAGGTCATTTCAGTCCTGATTTACAGTAATAAATATATTGCTTAGAAGTGTCAAAAATGACACTATAAATTTTTTTTATATATAAAATATGTCACTGATTAATCATGCTGAACAAAAAATTTAATAATTACTAGAGACCACATCTACTGTACTGCACTGCCTTTAGTATCCCCCCATTTAATATCCTCCTTCAAATAATACCCGGATACATTACAAAAAAAAGTCTCAAAAAATTGTATAAGATCCGGGTATTAAAATTTAATAGATTTAATTGAATAAATTGTTCAGGTATATTTTTAACAATGAAAAAAAAATATAAATTTAAATCTAATAAATTAATCTATAAATTAATCTAAAAATTATAAATTTAATTTTTATTATACAATAAAAAAAATAGGTAATATTTTTTTATAGTTCTTTCTTATTTGGTATTTTTTGTTACTAAAAAGCAAATAAAGTAATACGAAAATATAGAAACCCCATAATAAACCAATCAGAAAGACGATTAATGCAAAAGTTTGATTGTTGGTATCAGGATAATCAAGATTCATCTTAATTGAAAGAATTGAAATAATAAT